GTGTTACATTCGAGCACAGCTCGCGAGTCACCTTGTCCTGGCTATTTACACATGGCGAGTTGGTGGAGTAGAAGTGGTCCCCCTAGGCCTTGCAGGAGGGCAGCTGTTGGGCGATGAGCTCTTGACTAAGTGTCAGGGCCGGGTCGTCGGAATCGGGGATTGATATCTCCTTTATTTTGTAGAATATCTTGTATGGTTGGATTATTTGAATTTTGCATTTGGAGGTATAATTTCTTAACGGAAGTTTGGTACATATCTTCTAGATCGGGTTGGTTCAAGTCCTCCTTCAGTATCTTGTTTGATAGGTTGAATGGAGCTCCTATACTTGTCCGAAGGCAGATTCTCATAAATGCGTTTATCCTATTTTTGTTTGTGGTTGTAATATATTTACACCAAATTGGGAGTGCGTATGTTACTATCGGGAGGATACAACTTCTGTATAGAGTAAACTTTTGTTTTGTAGTCAATTTGCTTCTATAGTTGAACAGGCTTGATAATGTTATTTTTGCGATTTTTGCTTTCTTTATGATATTTTTGACATGCATGTTGAATTTCAACTTGGAGTCTAAGGTAACTCCAAGATATTTAACGCTGTCAGTCCAGTTAATAGGGCTCTGGTTTACCTTTAGGATGGATTGTGGCTTGAACTTTTTATTGTCTAGTGGAGGAAAAATTATTGCCTGAGACTTTTTTGGGTTGATGTCTAATTTCCAATCGTTGCACCATTTGGTTATACTGTTTATGTAATTTTGGAGTTGTGTAGTTATTATTCCTATTGATTTGGAGTTTGCTAAAATTGCTGCGTCATCTGCGAAAAGTTTTATTTGACATTTTGGATGTTGAGGGAAATCGTTGATGTAGATGTTGAATAGGTAGGGTCCAAGGATAGAGCCTTGAGGGACTCCAATCTGGGTTGGTTTTGCCGTGGTTATATAGTTCCCTTGCTTAATTGAAAAGGTTCTGTCCTGGAGATAGTTTTTCAAGAATTTGATAAAATCCCTTGGAAATTGATTTTTTGTTATTTTTGCTATCAAGGCATCATGCCATACTCTATCAAAGGCTTTGGTAAGGTCTAGAAAAACAGCACCTACTGCCTCCTTGTGGGACTTTCTTATTTGGATGTAGTCTATTACTGTGATTAGCTGGTGGGTTGTGGAGTGTCCTTTTCTGAATCCAAATTGTTGAGGAATGATAAAGTTAATAGAATCCATGTATGTCTGCAATCTGCGAAGAACAATCCTCTCGTATACCTTACCGATGGTAGAGAGAAGGCTGATTGGTCTGAGATCTTCAGGTGATTTGACAGGTGATTTTTTTGGAATGGTTATGATAATGGCATGTTTCCATGTCTTCGGGAAGTAGCACAGGTGTAATGCAGCATTGAAGATCCCAGCGAGGAAAACTATCCATTTGATGGGGAGGTTTTTAGTCATTTGCGGCGTAATATTGTCGTGGCCTGGAGCTTTGTGATTACCTAGGTTTTTAATCACTTCCTTGACTTCATTTGGCGTTGTCATTGATAGTATATTCTCTTGGGGATGATGGCAAGTGTTATCTGTTAGGTAAGACGGAACCTCATCCTCCGCCTTGGAAAAGTGTTTGAAAAAATGCTCTGAAAGATCATTTCCAATTTCTTTGTCGGTCAGCAAGGTTTTTCCATTTGCATTTAAACTAGTGATTTTGTCAGTTTTTTTCCTAATGGGTTTTGTTTTTTTCCAGAAGTCTGTTGGGCTCGATTCAAGTTTGCTTAAAAAACTATTCCAATTTTCAGATTTCTCTGCTTCAAGGGCTTGATTTACCTTTCCTTGAAGATTGAGGTAAGTAGCTCTATGAGCTGGATCCCAGGTTGATTGCCATCTTTTCCTAGCTTTATTTTTCTCCCTTATTAAGGCTTTGGTTTTTGGGTTCTTTATTAATTTGGAAGATGAGACTATGGTGTTTTTCGAGTAGCTATTATTAATTTTCTCGTTTAAAATTCCAACTGCTGAATCAATGTCTACTTCAGTTTTCAAGGGGAGTCTGGGGGGCGTGGTGGAGATTAGATCTTGTTGAAAATGAACCCAATTAGTTACTCGGCTGAGCTGGGTTGTGAATTCGTCCTTTGGGCAATTCAATTCAAAGATTACAGGGAGATGGTCAGATGATAAATCGTCGGTGGTTCTGGCCTTTGGGGTCCAGGGAATGTTTTTAAGTACAGCGAAGTCTAGGAAATCGGGATTGCCGAGTGGACTGTAATGCGTGGGTGACGAAGGTGCGACAATGTCGAGGCTTTCTCTTTCAGAGAAATTGTGCAGCACGATTCCACTGTTATTTGAAGTCCTTGATCCCCAAAGAGGGTGTTTGGAGTTCCAGTCTCCTGCAACGATTATTGAGTGGTTGTGTTTTATCAGTTGGTTCAAATCTTCTTCCAATAATGGTGCATCAGGCTTCTTATAAATTGCTGTGATTTGCAAGAGTGTTTTTCCATCTGGTTTTATCAAAATTGAAGTATTTTCCAAGTTTAAAGTATGAATCAGCATATTTTTATATTTAAAAAAGGATTTTATGATGATGGCTGTTCCCCCACCTTTTCCTGTAATTCGATCAGTTCTAATGGTTTGATAGTTCCTGAACTTTAGATCAATTGAGGGTTTAAGGTGAGTTTCACTGAGCAGAGCAATGTCAATTGAGTTATCTTCTAAAAAGTGCAATAATTCTTCTTTCTTTGATCTGATTCCGTTACAATTCCAAGCAATAATTTTAAAAGGTAATTTGCAATTCATTGTAGGTATGTTTTGATTACTTGCATCAATTTTTCACACAGGTCCTTAGTTTCAGAACGAGAAGTTTTTCTTGTCACAACCTCAGCATTGCTTTGGTTTTGTTGTTCTACCATTTTCGGCAGTGTTTCAGATCTTTTTGAAATCGGAGGTGGGTTGTTAGGTTTGTACTGACCAGGGTATCTTGGCTGTTGCTGATGTACTCTTGGAAACTTAGGGCATCCGCGGTAATTGGCTGTGTGCGCTTCTTCGCAGTTTGCACACTTTGGGGGAAGTTGTCTTGACTTTCTTGGGCAGTCCTTCGAATGGTGCTCCTCGGCACACTTGACGCATTTTGGTTTCAGGAAGCAGTTAAGTTGACCGTGCCCGAAACCCTGGCAGTTGAAGCATTGAGTCACACGGTTTGTTGTTTTGAAAGATTCTACTGCAATTTTCTGATAGAGAAGTTCAGTTATTCCGTAAATTTTCTTGTTGTGTTCATTTTTCGGTAATTCTACCAGTACTAAATTCATTGGCCTTTTAGTTGATTGTCTATGAAGTCTCTTCACAGAGGTCTCAGTAAAGCCCATTGTTGCAAGTTCTATTGCTATATCTTCAGTCTTGTAGGCTGTTGTCACGCCCTTTAATACCACTTTGAGCGGTTTTTTCTTCTTGGAGTCTATAAGAGTAGCCGCCATTATTTTTTTGAACATATTCCCTGATTTTTTTGAAGTCTGAAATATTTTTGGCCTTGATAATGTGCTTGTTTCCTGAGATCGTACATTGGAATTTATCTGTGCACAGGTCTTTCAGCTCTTGGCAGAGCAACTTCCAGTCTATTACATTTTCTGCTATTACAGGGGGTATTCTTGGCTTTTTTGCATGTGTGACTTTTGTCCAAGGACCATCTTCATCAATGTCTTCTTCGTTAACCTGAGGAGGGGTAGCTGCGGACGTTTCTTGAGGGACTTCAATTACCTCGTTCATGGAGACATCGTTTTCATTATGCTGTGAGACAACTTCCATTCTCGGTGTCTTGTGGCTACGTGATGTTGAATCTGATGGAGATTCGCGAGTTCGTTTCTTTGTAGAAAGAGTTTCTTCTACTTTGTACTCGATGCCACATCTTTCAAGGATTTTCAAAAGTATGTTGGTGTCGATTATACTGACCTTTTCGCCAGCTGGGCCGATCGTTGATTTGATTACAATAGGCTGCATATTTTTCCTGAAAAAATTAGCAGCACAAAAGGATTGATTGGTTAACTACAAGATAACCTAGGTTAATTTTTTTTATTGAGAAATTTAACCACAGCATGTTTTTAAATAGTTCATGTTATCAAGTGTGTAAACAAGATAACAGATAAGAAGAAGATATTTATCTGATAAACAGTTGTTTATCTCATCTTTGTCTGAAGATGGTAACAACATTGTTACCGAAACGTCACACACTATTTATTTATTTGGATTTGGTCTTATTACCTTGTGTCTAAAATGATATATAAAATTTTGGACAAATATATGCTATCACAGCTATTATGATGCAAAAGTAAAGCTAGTGAAGATGTGGTAAAAGCATTGAGAAACCATCTTTGTATGAAATTTTATAAACAGTAGACCTCCATGAAAGGACACTTGTGCTAGAGGACACCTCTCTTTACTATTCAGAAACTCTCCAGGAAGAGGACACCTCTCCCTAAAAGACACTGGTTCTGCAATTAGGTGTCCTTTACAGGGAGGTTCTACTGTATATTGTTCTGAAATTAGAGAAATCCATATTTAAAAAATCTTTAGATAATAAAAAGACATATATTGGATGGAAAAAAATATTTATTTGCCAATATTCCTGTTGGCTAAATGCTAACTTTTGTCAAGGCATTACATTTTTGTATAAACAAACTAATTTTTAAAAATTTATTTCAACAGTGAAGATAGGATAATTGGCCCAACCTGGATGAGAGGAAAATGTCCCTGCAGCTGGTGGTTGTGGGAGAGAGGCAGCAAGGGGATGGTGGCTAGACCTAGGTAGCTGGCCTCCCTTGGGTCATTGTCGTCAAACACATACAGCCGTAGTTCCTACACATACAGTACACTGAGCTATCAGTTTCTACACATACAGCACACTGGACCATCAGTCCTGGAACACATCACTGAACCATTAATATATACAGTTATCAGCGTCATAATCAATTCTTTCTTAATCAATTCTGTCACCGTTTGCTTTTGTGAATGGAATAAATACCCAAATATGGCCATTTCTCATAACCATCGGTGGTTCAGTGGTAGAATGTTCGCCTGCCATGCGGGCGGCCCGGGTTCGATTCCCTGCCGATGCATTTTTTTTTTACAATTTTTAAAACTCATTTATATATTATACAAGAATGACATCCACGGCGCCAATTTATAATTGTAACGAATAGTATTTGAATAAAAGCATTTAATCGGGTAAAACCCGGGCGTTGCCCGGGTCATTTGGCTAGTCAGTTCCTACACATCACTGAACCCATATTAACTTATCACTAAACTCTCACTTAATCATTCACCCTTTCTTGATTTCCTGAAGACGTTCTCTTGAGCTTCTTGAAAAAAGTTTCATTAGAGCCAAAAAGATACAACACTTATTATGACAAATAATACTGAATAATACAAGGTGTAAGAAGGTATACAATATATACACACACACACAGGATATATTCTCCAATGTTTAATAACTGTGTAGTCCAGTCTACCTGAGTCCTGAGATAGCGATCCAAGGACAAGTCCATGACAAGGGGAAAGGTCCGGTGATCCTGGAAGACTGGAGTGTTGGAGAAGGGCACCATGGCAGTATCCTGGTCAGGGAGATCATAGAGCTTGTACATACAGTAGGTGGACGGCTGCTCTCCTGGAATACACCCCTTACTTGGTTCACACTTCTTTTTTCTGAAAATATTATACAGTAGAACCTCCCTGCAAAGAACAACACCTAATTGTAGAGCCAAAGCTTCTTTTGTAGAGAGGTGTCCCTAGTGCTAGTGTCTTCTCATGGTGGTTCTACTGTATTCGTAATTAACAAATACAATAGAACCTCCCTGCAAAGAACAACACCTAATTGTAGAGCCAAAGCTTCTTTTGTAGAGAGGTGTCCCTAGTGCTAGTGTCTTCTCATGGTGGTTCTACTGTATTCGTAATTAACAAATACAATAGAACCTCCCTGCAAAGAACAACACCTAATTGTAGAGCCAAAGCTTCTTTTGTAGAGAGGTGTCCCTAGTGCTAGTGTCTTCTCATGGTGGTTCTACTGTATTCGTAATTAACAAATACAATAGAACCTCCCTGCAAAGAACAACACCTAATTGTAGAGCCAAAGCTTCTTTTGTAGAGAGGTGTCCCTAGTGCGAGTGTCTTCTCATGGTGGTTCTACTGTATTAGTAATTAACAAATACAATAGAACCTCCCTGCAAAGAACAACACCTAATTGTAGAGCCAAAGCTTCTTTTGTAGAGAGGTGTCCCTAGTGCGAGTGTCTTCTCATGGTGGTTCTACTGTATTAGTAATTAACAAATACAATAGAACCTCCCTGCAAAGAACAACACCTAATTGTAGAGCTAAAGTGTCCTTTATAGAGAGGTGTCCCTAGTGCGAGTGTCTTCTCATGGTGGTTCTACTGTATTAGTAATTAACAAATACAATAGAACCTCCCTGCAAAGAACAACACCTAATTGTAGAGCTAAAGTGTCCTTTATAGAGAGGTGTCCCTAGTGCGAGTGTCTTCTCATGGTGGTTCTACTGTATTAGTAATTAACAAATACAATAGAACCTCCCTGCAAAGAACAACACCTAATTGTAGAGCTAAAGTGTCCTTTATAGAGAGGTGTCCCTAGTGCGAGTGTCTTCTCATGGAAGTTCTACTGTATTCGTCATTAACAAATACAGTAGAACCTCTCTGTAAAGGACACCTAATTGCATAGCTAAAGTGTTCTTTAGGGAGAGGTGTCCTCTTACTGGAGAATTGCTAAATGGTAAAAATGGAAATTTTACAAACGAAAAATGTTCTTTATAGAGAGGTGTCCTCTAGTGCGAGTGTCTTTTCATGGAGGTTCTACTGTATCAATATTTGATTCAAAATTTGATGATGAATACTATATAGAATGCAATTATTATCAAGTTTTGCGTGTGGTTTCACTATTTAGGTATGCATGCTATAGGTGCTTTTCACCCTTCTTTAACTCCGCCTTTGCCGATCCCAATCCCGGATGAAAAAGGAGGAGGGGGAGCAGTAACAAGCTCACTAAAAACCTGGGCTCAGCTGGCCTGGCTGATAGTACCCTGTAAGGTCTCCTAATCCAGGGATACAAGATGAGCAGCGTTTGTACTCCATGTTAGGAGCAGCTGCACATGGCGTCTGTTCCTAATGTCAGAGGCGGCCATTTCTTTTAGAGCTAATTCGGCCTGCCACTGAGTAGTGTGCCCAGTCTTAATGACAAAGGCAGACGCATTCCACTTCACCCAGTGTGGAGATAACAAAGAAGAAGAAGACCCTTCTTTTAAGAGATAAAAGCAAAATGAAAAGGAATCAGGGAGGTTGAGATTGAAAATACAATAGAACCTCCATGAGAGGATACTCACGCTAGAAGACACTTCTCTATAAAGGACAGTTTTCATTGACAAAATTACCATTTTCACCAGAGGTAATAAGACCAAATCCAAATAAATAAATAGTGTGTGACGTTTCAGCGTTGTTACCATCTTCAGACAAAAGTACTGAATGAGAAATTTTACCCCAGCATGTTTTAAATAGTTACTGTTATTAAGTGTGTAAACAAGATATCAGGTCTTTGGTCTTATTACCTTGTGTTTATAATCTACTAGCCGAATGACCCGGGCAACGCCCGTGTTTTACCTGATTGAATGTTTTGATTCAAATACTATTTGTTACAATTATTAATTGGCGCCTTAATTAATTGCATATGTTAGTTAATAACTATAGCCTATGTGCTTTATCTGTCTATGTACTGTTGGCTTCCGTAGGTGTCTCTTACTGGGAAAAAAAGAGAGGATTCCATTTAGTTATTAACTAATATATGCATTTATTTAAGGAGGGACCCGCTCCAACACAATAGTTACAAAAACGAAAAAGCGAGTGGGGGGGGGGGGGGGCAAAGGTGGCGTGATCTTAGCCAACCAATAGGAGAGCGCCATTCCAAAAAAAAAAGCAAACGGTGACAGAGATGAAGAATTAGGAACGCATGACGCTCGTAACTGTATATAGAATAATCCAAATTGTGCCTTATTACCATTTTCACTATTTAGCAACTCTCTAGTAAGAGGACACTTCTCTATAAAGGACACTTTTGCTCTGCAACTACGTGTCCTTTACAGGGAGGTAGTTCTACTGTATTATAGTTCATTAACCAATTTAAAAAAGTAATATAATGGGTAGAAATGTAATTTTTCAAGATGTGATAGTGTGTTGTCCATGGAGCAAATCAGATTGGTCCGTGCACCCTGATCACAATACCGGCCAACTGAGGTGCCTGGAAGGCACAAGATGATTAGAGCATAATTATTGGTTAAAAAATGACCTCTATTTAAAATAGGCAAAAAAATAAGTTATTTTTAGCCTATCTGTGCATATCGCAGATAAGCCACAAAAATACCAATAATGGACAAATTGAGGCAAATCCTTTGGGGTATGGGCTATATCAGTAAAGAGTCATCTAATCCACAAAAAATATATGGACAGTATACTCTCTTCAATTCAACTGGTATCTATATAGCTGGTGAAATGTTAATTTTATATAAAAATACAATGAAACACAAATGTTTATATAAGTAGGGTTTCCAAAATCAACAAAAGATTGGTGCTCTGACAAATACACCAACTCCACCTTTGCTGGTCCCAAGACCGGATGAAAAAGGAGGAGGGGGAGCAGTAACAAACTCATTAAAAAACCTGGGCTCAGCTGGCCCGGCTGATAGTACCATGTAAGGGCTCTTAATCCAGGGATACAGGATGAGCAGCGTTTGTACTCCATGTTAGGAGCGGCTGCACATGCATCTGTTCCTTATGTCGGAGGCAGCCATTTCATTTGGAGCTAAGTCGGCCTGCCACTGAGTAGTGCTCCCAGTCTTAATGACAAAGACAGACACATTCTACTTCACCCACACCATCAACAAGCTCTACAAGAGTTTGATACCCTAATTTGATTGAGTGAAGATAAGAAAGAGGACAAATTCACTAAACTGAATCTGCTCTCAGGATGTGAACATAATTTTAAAAGAGTAATGCTGATATTATTGAGGTCACCCCACACACAGGGTACATCCAATTAAACCTCAGGGGTGTTGGTGGAAGGATGGTCTAAACCGTTGGTTTTCGACCGCTACGACCCGGGATCAAATCCTGCATTGAGCCTTTTTTTCTAATTTAAAAAAAAAATGCTCCAATGACCCCTGATTCTTGCAAAAGTCCAACCCCACCAGCAAATGCAAGTAACCAAACGGGGCTCTGACACATTTGTAAGTGTAAAAGTTGAACTGCTTTTCACATGTGTAGATATGTGGTGCACTTACTGTAAAAGCAGTCGCCTACTTCTACCCACCATGGTTATCATGGCCTGTACCACGTGTTCTAGGGATAAGCAAAAAAAAAACTTTATACATAATATAAAGCCATAATACATAACGGCAAATAACATTATGGTGAATAATATTGGTAGAGTAGAACCTCCATGAGAGGACACTCATGTTAGTGGACACCTCTCTACAAAGGACAGTTTTCATGGTCAAAATTACCATTTTTACTATATAGAAACTCTCCGGTAAAAGAATACCTCTCCCTAAAGGAAACTTTGGCTCTGAAATTAGGTGTCTTTTACAGGGAGGTTCTACTGTATTTAGCAACACTCCAGTAAGAAGACACCTCTCCCTAAAGGAAACTTTGGCTCTGAAATTAGGTGTCTTTTACAGGGAGGTTCTACTGTATTTAGCAACACTCCAGTAAGAAGACACCTCTCCCTAAAGGAAACTTTGGCTCTGAAATTAGGTGTCTTTTACAGGGAGGTTCTACTGTATTTAGTAACTCTCCGGTAAGAGGACACCTCTCCCTAAAGGACACTTTGGCTCTGCATTTAGGTGTCTTTTACAGGGAGGTTCTACTGTATTAGCAACACTCCAGTAAGAAGACACCTCTCCCTAAAGGAAACTTTGGCTCTGAAATTAGGTGTCCTTTACAGGGAGGTTCTACTGTATTTAGTAACTCTCCGGTAAGAGGACACCTCTCCCTAAAGGACACTTTGGCTCTGCATTTAGGTGTCTTTTACAGGGAGGTTCTACTGTATTTAGCAACACTCCAGTAAGAAGACACCTCTCCCTAAAGGACACTTTGGCTCTGCAATTAGGTGTCTTTTACAGGGAGGTTCTACTGTATTTAGCAACACTCCAGTAAGAAGACACCTCTCCCTAAAGGACACTTTGGTTCTGAAATTAGGTGTCCTTTACGGAGGTTCTACTGTATTTAGCAACACTCCAGTAAGAAGATAACTCTCCCTAAAGGACACTTTGGTTCTGAAATTAGGCGTCCTTTACAGGGAGGTTCTACTGTATTTAGCAACACTCCAGTAAGAAGACACCTCTCCCTAAAGGACACTTTGGCTCTGCAATTAGGTGTCCTTTACAGGGAGGTTCTACTGTATTTAGCAACACTCCAGTAAGAAGACACCTCTCCCTAAAGGACACTTTGGCTCTGCAATTAGGTGTCTTTTACAGGGAGGTTCAAATGTAGCTCAAATTTTTGCAAATGTTCATGAACTATTGGGACAACCTTGTAATATTGTTAGGTCACCCCACACACAAGGTACATCCAATTAAACCTCCCAAGATCAACAAGGGCTTAAACCGAACTATCTAATACCTCAATGAGACCAAGATAATTATAGATTTTATTTAGGTAGCCTCACACGGGAGTTATCTCATCTTGTTACTTTACATCTCTAAATATCCATCACAACTCTGCTTTTGCCAGTCCCAAGCCCAGATGAAAAAGGAGGAAGGGGTGCAGTAACAATCTTGCTAAAAAACCTGGGTTCAGCTGGCCCGGCTGATAGTACCCTGTAAGGGCTCCAGGGATACAGGATGAGTCTGTACTCCATGTTAGGTGCAGCTGCACATGGTGTCTGTTCCTCATGTCAGAGGCGGCCATTTCTTTTGGAGCTAAGTCGGCCTGCCACCGAGTAGTGCTCCCAGTCTTAATGACAAAGGCATTCTACTTCACCCAGTCATGATGGTTGTTAAACAGACACTATCAAGGCTCACAACTTGATATCCTGATATGATTGAGTGGAGATAAGAAAGAAGAAGAAGAATATACATCACATGTATAAGAATATGAGGACTCGATAAGACACAATTTGGATTATAGATTATAAACACAAGGTAAAAAGAACGCTGTTTAACAAGTTTTCCTGCAAATTTTTCTTTTTACCGAACAAAAAATTGTAATTTCTAATTATTTTATGGAGAAATAACGACTATTCTTATCCTTAGGGATGAAGTATGAAAGGATGAATTGTGAAGAGTAATGATGTATGGAAAAATAAAGTGTCCAGGGTAGCCTATTGAACAGGACATCTGCCCGGTAAGCGGGAACACTGTGGGTTCGATTCCCATCCCTGGACACTTTTTTTTCCGTTCATCATTATTCTTCACAATTCAACCTTTCATACTTCATCCCTAAAGATAGGAATAGTCATTATTTCTCCTTAAAATAATTAAAAATTAAAATTTTTCGTTCTGTAAAAAGAAACATTTGCGGTAAAATTTGTTAAACATCGTTCTATAATCATAGCCGCATTATATTGTATTACAAGGTAAAAGGACCAAATCCAAATAGATAGTGTGTGACATTTTGGTCTTGGATTATCTTGTCTTTTCTTCTTCTTTCTTATCTCCACTCTCAATCATATTAGGGTATCAAGCCTGTGAGCTTGAGACTTGACAACCATCATGGCTGGGTGAAGTAGAATGCGTCTGCCTTTGTCATTAAGACAGGGAACACTACTCAGTAGCAGGCCGACTTAGCTCCAAAAGAAATGGCCACCTCTAACATGAGGAACAGACGCCATGTGCAGCTGCTCCTAACATGGAGTACAAACGCTGCTCATCCTGTATCCCTGGAGACCTTACAGGGTACTATCAGCCAGGCCAGCTGAGCCCAGGTTTTTTAGCAAACTTGTTACTGCTCCCCCTCCTCCTTTTTCATCCGGGCTTGGGACCAGCAAAGGCGGAGTTGTATTACAAGGTAAAAGGACTAAATCCAAATAAATAAATAAATAGTGTGTAAGATTCAGTAATAATGCTGTTACCAAATCGTCACACACTATTTATTTATTTATTTGGATTTGGTCTTATCACCTTGTGAAATATAAGGAACCAAAGAGGGTGAAAACAGACCATTCATGGAGTTGGGGAGTCCGAAGCACTGGGTGATCTTGACATGTAAAATGTTGATGCCTTCAGGTGCTGGAACTGAGGCTTTGTCTGGAGATGGCTGGTGCTGGAGGTAGCTCAGGGCCTTGGATTTCTCCTGTAACACCAACATTGTTCTGTGGGGAGCTATTGATGAGCCACTGACTTTGGTGAAAGGGGCTCGACATGTTATGGATCAACTAATTTGCATTTAAAATACAAGAAAATAAGACCTAATCTAAATAATTTCTTAGTGTGTGACGTTTCGGCAACAGCATTGTCACCATAATCAGACAAAATAATAAATGAGAAAAAATATCACCTTTATTCTTTTGTCTGATGATGGTGACAATGATGTTGCCGAAACGTCACACACTAATAAATTATTTGGATTGGGTCTTATTTTCTTGCATTATAATCTATAATCAAAATTGTGCTTTATCATGCAACCAAAATAGGAACTTGAGTTATACAGTAGAACCTCCATGAGAGGATTTCGCGCTAGAGGACTAACGGGGGCAAAGGCACCTCTCCTTTCCATGGAGCAACACAAGTAAGGGAGTGCCCTGTAGTACGGTGTCGTGAGCCGCTACGGTAACTGTGAACAGGAAACTCTGAAATGTGGCTGACTAACGGGGCAATGGCATTCCATGGAGCAACACAAGTAAGGGACTGCCCTGTAGTACGGTGTCGTGAGCCGCTACGGTAACCGTGAACAGGGAACTCTGAAATGTGGCTGACTAACGGGGCAATGGCATCCCTCCCTTTCCATGGAGCAACACAAGTAAGGGAGTGCCCTGTAGTACGGTGTCGTGAGCCGCTATGGTAACTGTGAACAGGGAACTCTGAAATGTGGCTGACTAACAGGGCAATGGCACCTCCCTTTCCATGGAGCAACATAAACAGGATAGATGAACCATGGATGATTTTGTACCTTATGCAGGAGAAGGACTTGTTCCAGGGGCAGATGGAGTCGCAACCAGAGACTCACTGTGGCCACCAGGGAACCACCATCTACACCACAGAGAATTCTATATACAGTTATCAGCGTCATGCGTTCTGTCACCATTTGCTTTTGGTGGCGTGATCGTAGCGAGCCAATAGGAGAGCGCCATTCAGGTGTCACCGTTTGCTGCGCCACCACGTGGCGCGACGGTGACCTTGAGTGACGTAATGACAGGGTAGGAACAAGAAATCACTTGCTATCATTATCATATCATTTTATGTATATATCAGATTTAAAATATATTCATACAAAAAATCTAAATAATACAATTTTCAAATATCGTTGTGAAAATTTACATTTTTATTTTTGTATTTTAAAAACACACAAAGATTGAAGCGGGACGTTTCAAAGGAGTGCCAACCACGACGCCAATTTATAATTGTAAAGAATAGTATTTTAATAAAACATTTAATCGGGTAAAACCCGGGCGTTGCCCGGGTCATTCGGCTAGTTTTGTATAATTAGAGCAAAACATTGTGTATCACCTTTCTGGAGCCGTCTCTGCCTCCCCCTGATCTCCGCGGATCACCACCCTGCTCCTCATCTACATCCCGGCTCTCCTGGCCTCACCCGGCGATGATCCTCTGGCCACCCATCCCCAGGCCCCTCCAACAGTACAATGTATATATTCCACTTTATGCGTCCATCGGGGCTCAAAAATCATTCATTCTGGTTAGCAGCCCCGTGAATAAAGATATTTCCGTGAATCACCTAGCCCACATATTTACAAACACACATAAATGTAGACCTATTATTGATACACTATAGTAGCTACAGTAGAACCTCCATGAGAGGACACTCGCGCTAGAGGACACCTCTCTACAAAGGACAGTTTCCATTTGCAAAATTACCGTTTTTACAATATTACAACTCTCCGGTAAGAGGACACCTCTCCCTAAGAACACTTTGGCTCTGCAATTAGGTGTCCTTTACAGGGAGGTTCTACTGTATTTAGCAACTCTCTGGTAAGAAGACACCTCTCCCTAAGAACACTTTGGCTCTGCAATTAGGTGTCCTTTACAGGGAGGTTCTACTGTATTTAGCAACTCTCTGGTAAGAGGACACCTCTCTTTAAAGAACACTTTGGCTCTGCAATTAGGTGTGGTCCTTTACAGGGAGGTTCTACTGTATTTAGCAACTCTTTGGTAAGAGGACACCTCTCCCTAAAGGACACTTTGGCTCTGCAATTAGGTGTCCTTTACAAGGAGGTTCTACTGTATTATTGTGAAGAAAATAAAGCAGCAATGATATAGGGTACAATTTAGATAATATATTAGAAAAAGAAGGTAATAAGAACAAATCCTAATAAATAAATAGTGTGTGACTGTTACCATCATGAGATAAAGGTACTCATTGGCTCATTCAGTACTTTTGTCTGATGATGGTAACAACACTGTCACTGAAACATCACACACTATTTATTTGATCTCATTACCTTAAAAAAGAAAAAAAAGATTAAATATGCGAAATAAACTCTAAGAGAATAATTACAAAAACTATAACAAGACTCAGAACGAAATACTATAAAGGAATGACAATACATCCAGATGGCACAAGAACCTACAGGACATGTAACAACTGCCCTGGTGTGGAACTAACACCTACCTACATATTCTCATGTCCAGCAATGGCCGCAGCCTTGCAGAAAATTGACATGGACCCAGGATAGAGGACATTGCAACTGCTGTTATAGAGATGCATGGAGACAACTGAGGCTCTTCATTGGACACGACAACAACAACAAAAAATTGACATGGACCCAGGATAGAGGACATTGCAACTGCTGTTATAGAGATGCATGGAGACAACTGAGGCTCTTCATTGGACACGACAACAACAACAAAAAATTGACATGGACCCAGGATAGAGGACATTGCAACTGCTGTTATAGAGATGCATGGAGACAACTGAGACTCTTCATTGGACACGACAACAACAACAAAAAATTGACAAGGACCCAGGATAGAGGACATTGCAACTGCTGTGATAGAGATGCATGGAGACAACTGAGGCTTTTCATTGGACACGACAACAACAACAGAAAATTGACGTGGACCCAGAACAGCAGCTTTACACACCCAAGATAGAGGATATTGTGACTGCTGTGAAAGAGATGTATGGAGACATCTTAGGCTCTTCATTGGACACGACAACAACAACAACCTTAAAGCAGCAAGTATTTGTCCTGAGAGAAAGCCATGATGTACGTACCATTCATAGCTATGTGCTGGGGGATCAGGGTCCCAGTAGGAACCGTAGGATCTAGCAGTGGGCCAAAGTCCACAGCACCACGGGCCACAGTCCTGTAGTCCAGTCCTAGGGCTTGGTGTAGCTCCAGGCTCATCCTCTCCTGCCAACACCTCCTCCTTTGATCTCAAAGTTTTACTTTACTGAATAACATGTAGACTTGGGTGGGAAATACAATATTTGCTATTTTTTACAACAATGGTTACAGGGATCTTTTTATGTTTATAAACAGTAAAGACTCATGATAAAGCACAATTTGGATTTTAGATTATAGATACAAGAAAATAAGTCCCCTAATCCGAATAAATAAATAGTGCATGACATTTCGATAACAGCATTGTTACCATCATCAGACAAAAGGATAAAAATATTTATTCTTTTGTCTGATGATTCCTGCCAACTCTAACATGAGTACAGACACAGCTCTTCCGTATCCCTGGAGAGGATCCTTGCTGAGGTCCATCAACCGAGTCAGTTGAACTCAGGATTTTTAAAGAGGTCTTTCTCCTCTTCTAACAATGCTGCTGTTGGTCCACTACTGCCTATTCGTCAGAGTTATTCTGTTTGTTTCACAGCTGGCCTTCATATCTGAATGTCATTCCCCTATCCCCCACCTGGGGATGTGCCCTGTAGCAGTAAGCTCTGCCAAGGGATGGTTATAATATATAGCGTGGGATAAGAAACAAACGATCCCCTGTGTGAGGGAGTTACCTTGTGGAGGTAATGTAAGAAGAAGTCATCAATCTGCACCTTGTACTGGGAGGTGATGTTGAAGCTAGGACTGTACGCACAGAGCCACTGAAGCTGAAGTTTGACTCAACAAGGATTCCTCACCTTGGTCCTTTCAACACAGGAGTGGACTGAAGCTGGAACTCAAAGAAGATCCAGGTGAGGAAGGTGATAGGCTGTGGGGACTTGAGAAGTTCCAGTCCATGCGGACTGAGGTCCATCTTCAAC